TATTACATTAATATGTTTACAAACCTAATTATCCGAATGCAAACATATATATATTTGAATTCTTATGTATAATTCCATGTAAACCTATGTATTTACGCAATTTCGTTTCCAATAGCAACAAGAAAGAAAGCCCGCTCCCATGCGAGAGAAATTAAATGATTAATAGTTATGTGCATTTTTATACATACATGTACATCATGTATATTCGGCATTTTGTATTTTGTTGATTGCTATATTGGCATGTTTATTATCGGCGCTATTTATCAATAATCGAGAAAGTGGATGCCCTTAAAATTCAGATAAAGATCGTGCAAAGAAGGTTACCATTTCCTAAGTTGATTTCTACTAGTTTTTTCTGTTACCAACTTGCATTTTTAACAAGAAGTATTTAACTAGGAATTTGGAGTAACAGTTTTATCATTCGATTCGGTGGTGAACCAGGGTAAGACGAAATACCTCCTGTCGCAACTTGGATTCCAAGTCACCCTCGACAGTCATAAACTTGAAGTTGTAGATTAGATCAACTACCTTGGAACCAGTATTAACACCAACAATAATGCCAACACTGGAATCCAACTCTCGCGATTAGGTAATACTTTGAACTAAACAGGCTTTTGAATAGTAAAGTCCCCTCTCGACGATCGATAATCAAACTTCACAACTCGTTCATCATTCCCTATTTTACTATATAATGCGGGGGCCTGAAAGATGACAGCATCTGATGTGTGGGCGTTCAAAGTTTCTCAAGCCAAAGGTTTTGTGGAGGATTTATAGTACTCTACAAGTTAGTGACGGCAAATACCACAGCCGCTGTACGAGGTGTATGATGATATTGACACAGTTCGGCGAATCAAGAAACAGCGGCTACGCTGGCTAGGTTATGTGGTCCGGAAAGTTTTCGATGCATATGTATTTGGTATATTCAATTAGAGAAAAACAGCATTAAGAGGGAATAAATTGCTCGCGGTTTTTTAACTCGGCTGCGATATTTGCAGTGTATGAGTGGTTGTATTTGCGGACTATGAGAAATGCCAATAAATCTTAGTGAATCAAGAAATTTGCTTTTACACAACTTGGTAGCACAGTTATTTGTGTTGAAATGTGTAATCGATTACCAACGTTTATAACCCATGACTATTGACTGTACTTGACAAATTGCCAAAGGCCAAAGGCAATAAAATAACGAGATGTAAAGCAAAGTCAATTTCTTTCGAGCGCCAAGAAACATTTGCAGTTGGGGGAAATTAATTTACTTTAAGTTTTTAAATAATTTTTTCTTTAGCCAAAATGAATAATGGCTGATGTTTGGACTTTAAGAATTTATATTTATGTATATATGTGTCTGATTTTAAATATTTATGTTTTTCGTAGTGTTTTATTAAATAATGGGTTATGGATGTCTAACCTAAAAGTGTCACACATATGCAGTTTAAGGGTAAAAATAATTGTTCGTTGGTTCGATCCCAATTTGCCAACCCTGGTCATTACAGATCAGGTTACCTATCATAAGGATGAGATTAGCTATAGGGCTATCCGTTTTGTGATTTCCAAAGTAAGTTAGAAAGAGGTATTTATGAAAATGAACCGCTTAACAACCTCACCACGGCCTATATTTATTAAAACCTACTACAAAAATAGTGATTCAAACGTGGCTTCAAAAGGAGGATTATGAGTCACATGAAAGTCCATTCAAGTCCAGTTTTCATAACAACTGAAGCCAGCCGCACACACGTCGATTTGATGCTTTGGCGATTTTACGAACAAAACTTTCATTAGCGATGGGGCACATTTCTCCCTCGTGGAAAATGCAAATGAGCAAACTTTTGGCATTCGGTGCTCTAAGAATCCTCGAATAATTAAGGGAGCGCTTACAAAAAAAAAAAAAAAATTACTCACTGTCAATTATTAGGCGGAAATTGAAGAAAACAACTTGAACAATATGTGATTTCAACAAAATTGTGCCACATGCGATATACAACTACCGAATGTGACTTTACAGCGAGAGAAATTCCCTATTCCCCATGTCGCAATGTCAAATATGAACAGCATTACTCTATAATTTTTTACAATCGTTTTTCACAGCCTTCTCTTGAGGCCAAGTTTACAGTAAACTAATCAATTACCATGGTAATCACAATGCCTATTCTATTGGTCTTACTCGGCACTTGTGGACGATTGCTTTCTACAGACTGGCAAGTCGCTGACAGTATAGATCCGATTACTAGCTCATAATGGATGATGCCTTGACCAAAGAAATTGAGAGTTATCCTGGCTTCAAGACCGATTGTTACAGCTCAGTATCTGTCGATCAAGACCGTTTTCCGTGACGTTGCTGTAAGTGGCTTCAGAAATAGATTGCTTTTGTTAGGATTCAGCGGCGCTTTCTTATACAACACCCATTCACGCCTTTGTTCAAAATATCTCCAACTATTTTGTGTCCGAATTTTCGCTCCTGATCAATAGAAAAAATACCGGCAAGACTTCACGTTTTTCATTATTTGGTAGAATTTTTTGGTGCTTGCCCTTAAGAAATCGACGAAATCGAAATGATGGATTACTGACAGTTGTAGTATAAGGTTTTATAAACTATCTAGTAGATGCACCATGCAAGGTTTTACTGTCGCATGTACTCAATAAACGTATGGAAACTTAATCATGGGATATATTTTTATCATAATTTTATTCACTCAATACTTGTGGGAATAGAAAATTTTGGTTTTTACCATTGACATTGACCTACTTCCCGGAGAGAGGAATATACCGACTTGTTGAATAGACCAGTCCCCGGTCCACTTTCCGATTTTCTTTTAAACCATCTCAGGAATCATAGTAACAATAATCATAATAAAATAATAATAATATTTGAATTTCGGCTAAGTTATGTTATGAGCACTCTTAACACTTCTCCCGAAATCCAGTCCCACTTTTAGAATGCGAGATATCGATAGCTTAAGCCATTTATTGAAAAAGTCATGTGTTACTTTACTTAGCTCAATTTTTTTAACTTAAGAAGAAACTTTAAACACTGAACACATTTAAAACAATTAAAGTAGAATTAAGTAAAAACATTAAAGGCCACAAAATCGAAAATGTGTCGGAAAATTGGGTTGACAGGCAGAACAGAATGGGTACCGTAAGGCCAGCAGTGGCAGCCATTTCAATGCTGTTTCATATTTAGCCAAACTGTTTAGACACTTCATTAGAGACAAATTCATTAAAATTTGTAGTAATATTACAGCGATTGCTTGCCATCTATTAATGTAAACAAAATATACTAGGGTGAGGGAAATTAATTATGTTCTGCTTCTTTATTGGAGTTGGCACTGCATATGCGATTATAGCCAAATCGATATTAGCGTGCCATTCCTCTCCTATTTTCAGCTGATCGTTCCAACGGAGTGGAAATAAATTATAATTAATAAAATAATTAAGTCTTATTCGGTTGCCTTTAGATAAAAGCTAATAATTTTTAAATTAATGTTTATAAAAAAACTGCTGCATGTGCTTGGAACTACCCTAATATTAATTCGGCTGCACCAAATCGAGCATAATTTCACGCATGACTTATTTTTCACCACATCATCATTTTGCCTCTTTACTTTGCCTATTTCAATAACACACATATAACTGACTACATATATACTCATGTAAATTTATGATTTTCCTTCTCGAATCTCGCTTCTAGGCAAGTAAATAATAAAGAAGTTTATGGCATAATTTTATATCGATTAATGAGTATGGGAAATGTTCAATATAAATTAATATGCAAAAGGTGAAATCAACTCAGTTTAGGTGCTTCGCAAATAGCGATGGTTGACTACCTGCGCGCAACAGAATTGTAGATTATTTACCCACATTAAAACAATGACTTGTTCAGATTTCAATTAATTTGGTTCGAGTTCTGGTTACTATTTTTTTTTATGAAAAAATGTGGTGTTTTCAAGCATAATAAAATGTTTGGCCGGAAGAATTTTTGGTGAGCAAAGATATATCAATCCGAAATCAAACAATCCAAAGTTACTGGTAGTCAAATTCGACAGCCTGCGCTACTTCACTCAACATAAGGCTGGGATTACGTCCAGAGTATAGAGCTGCACCAAAATTTTCCGGTAGAAAGTAAAAAAGATCAAAAAGGACGGCACACTTCACGTATTTGGATACCAGATGCAGAGGACAAAGCTACAATTCGGTCAGAAGACCACCCTGGTGACAGCAGTGAGAGATCACCTGATGTTACCTGCACACATATTACATAGAGAAGAAATATCTACCCCTAGAGAGGTGAACGTAATTATATGCAGTCACATCTACTGATAGTCAAACCAACAAAGAGGCACACCACGATTCGATTCAGTCTCACATAATAGAATTGCCGTCATATAAAAGTTTTAGTGGATTCGACTCCTACTTTCCCTGATTTGACCCCGACATACTTAACATATGACTTACATTCAATGAGTTTCGCACGACACGCTCTTTTTCATTCAAACCCACCACAAGCCCTCACTCCCCTGGTGAGAGCCCTTCGAAATAGTCTGTTCCGCTAGTATTAAACCGAAGATAATAGGAAAATATAAATAACACAAAGAACTATATGAGTATATGGAAAATCTATAAAAAAGTAATTGGCATAAACAACGTTGGGACAATCAATAAAGATGTTACAGTTAGTGCTTACTAAGCAATAACAAACAGGAAGCAGAAATATTTATAGTAGATATTTGGTAAACATGGCACGTCGCTTTGAATTGTCTGCTCACAAAAAAGTAAATCGGATAATTTTTTCCATCTAATTTGCCAAAATCAGGGATAACAAAGCCATGGGTTGGCCGAATGGCTCCAATTAGCTATGATGAGACTCAAGTGCTGAGTATCGTGCGAAGAGACTTAATGTAATAAAATTATCCATTTAGATTTATTTGTGTTTTGATGTGCTGCAAAGCGGAAATCATGATCTACATTTGATTATTAAATTGTAAACCTTGTTTTTCTCCCAACAGCATTCGAGGGCACAACAAGACATCCGCCACATCATCATCATCCACCGCTACAATCAAATCAGCTGACACCAACAGCACACCAAATATCAACGCACAATTTGGAATCACTGTCAGTAGCTAGACGCATGCAGCCCTCCTCTTCCTCAGCACTTTTATCGGCAACATCAGCAGAATCGCTGACATCTTTCTCAAAACTTGAACTCTCCAATGCTATTTTGGACAGCTTCGATGGTGTGGGCGTGAGCGGTGAGCCACAATTTGAGAACACCACCGAACGTGAAGTGATTGCGGCTGTTGGCACTACAGCTCGGCTACACTGTCGTGTGAGAAACCTCGGTGATCGGGCCGTCTCATGGATACGTAAGCGGGATTTGCATATTCTCACCATCGGCATCATGACATATACTAACGATCAACGATTTCTCGCGCGACACATCGACAACTCTGATGAATGGGTGTTGAAAGTGGTCTCCGTGCAACCGCGTGATGCCGGCATTTACGAGTGTCAGGTATCGACAGAACCGAAAATAAGTAAAGCGTACAAGCTGATGGTTGTGAGTGAGTATCCAATTATGAACACTAATTCTAACAAATACACATACACATCCAAATAAACATAGCTATGATATAATAATTGTGTAGGAAAGCATATATGAAGGATTTTTGCTTCTGTCTCAGCCACTCATTTTAACAACTATTTTACATTTGTTTATTCCGAATGGACAAAACAATGACTAAAACAAAATAAAATTAAATAATATAAATAAAATAAAATAAAATAAAATAAAATAAAATAAAATAAAATAAAATAAAATAAAATAAAATAAAATAAAATAAAATAAAATAAAATATAATAAAATATAATAAAATATAATATAATAAAATAAAATATAATATAATATAATATAATATAGTATAATAAAATTAAATTAATCTAAATTAAATAAAATTAAATTAAATTAACAAAAATAATTTAAAATCAAACTTAATGAAAAAAGTAAATAATGTAACAGAAAGTAAAGTGTAATAAAATAAAATTAAAGTAACTAAACTTAATTAAAATTAAATCAAATGAATCACAAATTAGATTAAATGAAGCAAAATAAATTCATGTACAAAAAAATTAAATATAACAACATAAAATAAATTGAATAAGACTTAAATAATATAAAATAAAATAAAATAGTTGATGAGCTGCATAAACTCAAACATATTAGACAAAATTTATTTTGCATTTTAATAGTAGAAAGTGTTAGACATGTTTAAAACAAAGATATAAAAATTATTTTAATAACATGTTTTTTTTATCTGGAGAGGTAATTTTTAGGTTTAATAAATGAGAAGCAAATTTTTGTTAAAAGGAAAGTAATACATTTTAGTAAAATAATATTTTCGGTTAGGGACTTACAGTTTCATTCATAAAAGTCTTAAGAAAATTCACTTTAAAAAGTAAAACACAAACACATCGTCAAGATTTTATAAATTTAAAGACTCTTAGTTCAATCCCGGGAATAATACAAGCTTTAAATTTCAAACACACGTAATATACTTATCTACATTTTAAAATTTTCATTAAAAACATTCTGAAATAACAGTCAATTTCTAAACCAGCAGTAAGTAACGTTAGATAACATTTGTTAGTGCAATTTGGTGATAAACGATTTTCAAAGGAAATCATTCTCTTCACTCTTTCACTGATAATCACCAGCAATACACTAATTAAGCGACCAACCGCTCAGATCCCAGTCAATTAGTGTACGCTTACTGCCTAGTATATCATCTCAGTAATCACAAAAAAAATTGTATCTATCTTCCCTCTATGTTTCTGTTTATGTATGCGCTCCACTCTCGTTCCTCCTGGGGCTGTTTGCGGTGCTGCTGCTGTATGATGTACACACTTCTTTGGATTTTTCGCAATTAACGCTGATTACGGCAATGAAATGCAACGCCAATGTAAACGCCTTCGCAATTTTATCGTCATTGGCGTATGATGGGTTTATCAACAATAACAACAACGACAACTACTGCTACTACTACAACCACCACCGCCTTTACTACTATGACATCGTCATCAATACCAAATTTAACACAACGAACCATCATAAAACCAATGACTCACCCACCCCCACACAAAATACTAAACAAATATATATACTATATGCGAATATATATCGATGTACATGCAATCGTACATTGGTGCCTGTCACGCACTAACATTAAATAAATCCATCGAATGGAATGCTGAATGATTTGCTTTGCGTCCTCTGCAATTTCTACGGTTGGTTGGCGCTTGGACTGGTGAATTTGTGGGCTGATTCTACCCATTTTCATATCTACTCACATACTGAAATGCGCAGCATCAAAAGCGCAAATACTCTCGAATCGCGAACTCTTCATACAAAGTGGCAGCGACATTAATTTGACGTGCATCGCACCGCAAGCGCCCGGCCCGTATACGCATATGATGTGGTACAAGGACAGCGAATTAATTAACGATTCAACGCGCGGCGGTATACGCGTCGTATCGGAGCAGCAAATGAAGACGAGTAATTTGGTGATATCGCGTGTGCTGCATCGGGACTCGGGGAACTACACATGTGCTGCAGATAATTCAAGTGAGTATTAAACACCCTCCGCCACCGTATGCGATCCTTTACTCTTACCTAAGTGCTAATGCTCCAATATATGTATGTACATTTCAATTGTTTTGCTTAAATTTTGTGGAGGTACAGCTGGAAAATTAGATGCGGTTTAGTTGTCAACACAAACTCATCCTAATTTTCCACTTCCCATTAATAATTAAGAATGAATGAATGTCCTGCAGCTGAGCAAACATTTGTGTTAAAATATGAATATCGCCATTTTCACTACGATGTCTGCTAGAGATATCTATATTTGAAAGATCGATAGAAGTTATTTTCTTCATAAGGGCTTTTATGGAAATAGCAGGCAGAGAAAACTTTTTTTTTACTATTAATTATATAATAACTTTTCCAAGGAAAACGAGAAGTGTTAACAAAAATTAAGGCGAACTTTTATTATCTTATTTCTCAAAACACCAAAGCCTCCTTCACTTCCACCACAATAGTTCCCGTGCGGCAGCATGATTTGGAAAATATTTCTTAATATTTTGGGGAAAAAGAATGAAGTTTATCTTTTTATCCATCGAAAAACTTTTAACTTTTAACTTGGAAAACACTTAGAGACTCTAAGTGAGTCATTCAAAATCCCCTTCACTTAGCGTGAAACTGATGCAGTGATTACTGGCTCGATATAATTCCTACAAATACCGCTCTTAAACCACCCTTACCTAAAGCTATCGTCCTCAATCTTGCTACCGAGATCAAATACTAACTATTTAATTAGATAACAAACTCATCTGAAACCAAAGTACTGTAGAAATGATGAGGGAGCCTTGACTGCACTCAAACCCTGCAAACTGCCGATCGTTGAAACGTCTATTAGTAAAACTTACACAAATTGTGCTACTGAGTCACATTATTGTGGGCAGCACTAAACGAATTTACCTTAAGATATAAATTAGAAATAGTTAAGCAGACTCTTCCCATCTCTTTGAGCCTCTCTTGTCAGACCGGTATGGTGAGATCAAGTGATCTGCATTGCTATAAAATTAAGTACAATCCAACTCAGGATAAATTGTACACCCGAATTCTAAAGCATACTCGTACAGCATTCTCCGAAGAGACGAACTCTGCCTATTGTTCAGCTATTTGCTTTGAGAATACAATTGTAATATAAATCCCAATGAAGAATAAATGGAATAATGCAATAGTATTGGGTTAAGGATCCATAGTTATTTTCAACGACGTCGTAAAAACGGATGATAGGGTTAGCTTTTGTCTTCACTCAGTGCCTCATGTAATTGATAAGACCGTAAGATTTCCTTAGCACTGCGGCAGCTTTCAAACAGATGCAATTGCAATGACAGAATCCGCTTTTATTTGACTTCTATCTATCATAATTCATTCTGACATCCAAGCTGCTGCTTGGTTTCTTCTATTCTATGTATAAATGCCACAATAAGAAACACACAATGTACGCGAAATATTAGCAGCTTGGCTGCTGAAACTCCGAAACATTCTGAGAAAATAAGCAAACCTGAAAAGAAACTGTTCGAGCTATGGTGAATTATCATGGGCTGTAAGGCAATCACATGCAATGTGACAAGACAGATTCGATCACTAACAGAAAAGAGTAGAGAGTCTCTTCGAATCAATAAAAGCAGGTGATTTGTTCCTTCTCTGCCTTGATAGGTGTTGAAATAATAACTAAAACCCATCATATTGGCCGCCGCGCTAGCCGAGTGGTTACATTATGTACAGCCACCCCTTGGCAGGGTATGTCAACACCTCCGACTGTATTTCCTGAAATAAAACTCCTCATAACAAAACCATTAGCCGTTCGGAAGCGGCTTCGAATAAACTTTAGGACGCAAAACTTCAAAATTTGAGGAAGAGCTCGGCCGAAAATCTCTTTAGCGGTTGCGCCAATTAAAAATATATTCTCGTTGACCGTTACCCTTAAACTTAGCATGCATGCTAGTTTTAATTTGAAGCAGAAGCTACTGCGAAGAATTGTTTGAAACACCCTACATATATCTCGTACTAATTATTGACAGCTGTCATTATGAATAGGAGCTAAGTTTACGTTTAATAAATTTCCTTTCTTCCTCCTGCTACTCTAACACTAGCTCTAACTAACAGAAGCTTTTACAGCTGTAGTGGTGGTCAGCTTGGTTGCGTTGAAGCCACCACTATCACATGGTAACACCTCAACTCAAAAGCACAAAATATTTGTTCTGCTTATTTACTTTTCTTTATATAAATATCTATCGATAAATTTATATTTTTATGTGTGTATCATATGTACAATACGTGTATGTAAAATTATGTGATCATCATTTACAGATTCTGACAGTGTATTTGTGCATATCATCAAGAGTGAACAGCATGCGGCGATGCAACATGAATTGGCCACACAAATGCAGACACCGCGACTGTTGTTGGTGTTGCTGACGTTTCTCTATGTGAGTTGAGTGAGTTTCCCATTCTACTAAACTTTATTGTTACACATTTTTATGCATGTATATATGTATATATATACGAGTGTGCAGTGGTGGATTGGGTAGGAATTTTTTTGCTTTTGCAGGAGACTCAAAATATTCATATTCAAGGGCGTATATTTAACTAGTCAGAATATCTCTATTTGAATGGAAAATTTGCGTGTTAACTAAAGGATGATTTTTTAGCTATTATATTTTTGGCAGCTCTGGTTTAAACAGCTGACGCTCCTTTCGTGTTTTGAATCACTGTCAAACATCATCAGTATTGTCTATAATTTAAACATGTACAAACGAACAACGCTTGCAAATTATTGAAATTTATTATCATAAAGCGTGCTCTGTTAAGAAAGTTAAAAAAATAACAAACTAAAAAAATTGTGTTCAGCGACGAAGCTCGTTTTTGGCTTGGGGATGTAAATAAGCAGAATTGTCGATTTTGGGGTGAAGCTCAGCCAGAAACACTGTAAGAGCTAGCAATGCATCCAGAAAAAGTCCCAGTTTGATGCGGTTTATGGGCTGGTGGCATCATTGGACCTCACTTCATCAAAGATGTTGTGAATCGTAACGTAATTGGGAATGGTGAGCTTCACAGTGAGATGATATGAGACTTTTCTTTGCCCAAAATGCAAGAGCTTGACTTGAATGACATGTGGTTTCAAAATAATGGTAACACATGCCACACAGCATGCGTAGCAAAGGACTTATTGCGAGGCGAGTGCGGTGAACATTTGATTTCACATTCGGGACCGGACAATTGGCCACCTAAATCGTGCGATATAACGCCTTTACGCTATTTTTTGTGGGGCTATGCCAAATCTAATGTCTATACAGACAAGCCCGCTTTGCCTTCTTAAGCCATATGGCCCTGTAAATCTTGATGTGGAGATTTTTAAGAAAAACCACCAAAATGCTAAATCCTGAATATGGTGTCGTGTTGTGGTTGTTGGCTCGTCGAGCAAACTTTAAGTTGCATCTCCTTCTGAAAGCGCTACAGGATCACGAACGTGAGTTTTTTTTCCTATAAGGCACTGGTTTTGGGAACTCGTCGATAGTTAGCAGCAAACTGATAGCGAGCGGATTTATCTCACTTGTTAATTTATTTTAATTGCGTTTGAATACTCAAAAATATAATAAATTTTTTTTCAGCAGTAATCTTTGCCATTTTGTAAATCAAGTATTTCACTCAGTATTTGATACACCAGAAATGTTATTTGACGTTGTCAAAGCCCAAATAAGCGACGCACGCTGCATATCCGTGTGTAAAAATTGAAATCAACATATATTTGAATCTAAAACTTAATTTTAGAAATAACAAACCTCAGTCTTTCGTTCAAATGCAACTGTAATCGTTCGCCAAATAATTTTACTTTAATAGAGCTCACCGGGATTATCAATGATTTTGGGCTGTCATATATCCGAGAAGTACATTGAATATGTAATTACAAAAAAAAAATTAAATATTTTTAATTTCCATTTAAAAAATTTTCAATTCAGAGTTAGCCATCTCGTAGTTTCAAAAGCATCGGGCTGTGTTTTCGCATCTGTAAACTCAATAGTCGTACCGAACTTGTTTCGTTTTAGCTAGAAGTCACGCATTTATAAAAATTTATGAAACGCGTTAAAAAATAAAAGGAATTTCAAAAAAGAAAAACAACAGTTTAAATTAAAATAAAACTTACTCTTAGTATTTTATTAGTATTATTATATATTACAAAATTCATTTATAAAATTAATATTATGAGTTTTTTTTTTTTTTAAACTTTTATAAACCAGCTTATATAGTTAACTGCAATCTATATTCAGTTTCTCTTGTCTCTAGTTGTTATTGTATTATTGTAGTTAAGCCCCTACCGCTGTATGTGCCACTGCATCAGACACTCATTTACAATAACTTTCGCATAAGCCTCTTATTTTTTGGCTCTACAATGCTGTTTGAGCAGCACTAATTCCACTTTTCATTCAAATTTTCTACATAAATTTGCAGTTATTCGAGCGTTCAATCAAATGAAAGCGAACAATTCACTAGCTATTGTGGTCATTACAAAAACCAATACAAATGCGCTAAAAACCACTGTAATTTAAGATTATGGATTAGCAACGCAAAAACAATAACAAAATCACTTACTAAAATTAATAAAATAAAAATAAAATACAAATAAGTATTAGAAAATGTAAAGCGAGTAAATAGATTTTACATTAGCGACAGCTTAGCTGTTCATTGCGCATTTGCAATTGGGAAGCCGCACAAGAGGGTGTGCATAGAAAGGTAAATATTTTTCACAATAAATTATCTCTATGTATATTATATATTTTTTGATAAATAACAATTACCGCTAGATAATTTTTTTTTCTCCCATTTTCGCTTATTCCAACAGCTAATCTCTCTAACTCATCCCGTCAGTCACAGCAATAAACAACTACTTTAAATGCAATTAAAAAATCACAACGAACATCTGTTGGCTACGGCGGAACAAAGAGAAGGAAGAGGCGCATATGCTAACTACCGCTACTGCTGCTGCTGCTCAATTTTTGTAAATTTGCATGCACAAGAGACTTGATAATTGTTAGTTCCACTAATAATTAAAATTAAAACTAAAACTAAAAAAAGAAAAAAAATACTAAACTTTGAATTCACGTGATTTTTGCATATTTATTAATATTTTTGCTTTTAATTTTCCACTTTTATGTTATTCATGTGTGTTCGGCATCTCATTTCACTTGTAAATGTATTGTAGTGAATTATAAATAATTTTTAAGTATTTTTGTACTTTTAAAATAAAAATAGTTGATAAGTTATAGGTTTTAAAATAGATGCGTAAATATGTAGCCGTGTAAGTGAGATAAAAGCAACGGTAAATCAAAAATTTAAATCAACAAAAACAATGTGTAAATACAAAAAAGAAATATAACAATAATAATAAAATAAGAAAATAAATATTATTAATTAAATCGAATTGGTGTATTTTATTGTGCAATAAGAAAAAAAGTAAGTATGCATTTTTATATGGGTTTAAACATATTTTTATACCATTTAACCGTTAACTTTGCTACATATTAAATAAGCACCAGAATCAGAGGAGGTAGACCCAACATGATTAATACCGATTGGATCACAAAAACTACACTGGCACATTTGAGCGATTATTTGGCGGTACCGCCCAGTTCGAACCAATATAAGATATATGTACATATAAGACAGTTTTAAGATTTTGGGTCATTAACGCATGAAAAACGCATCTGCGGGCATGCAAGCATACTTCGATGAAATCCTTGGAAAGCAACTAGTTTAATGCATTACCTTCACCTGAAATTGGGTCCAATTAAAAAATTTTCATGGATTTATATGGCTTAATAACACAAATAACCTAAAAAGCAAGATTTTGAAGACAGTTTTAGAAAGTGGGTCTACTCGTGTAGGCTTAAGAAATGCATTGAAATCTATGACGACTATGTAGAGACGATAACAAGGGACAAAACTGACGAATAAATACAAAAACTATTTTTTTGTTTCTAGTTGAGTAAGCATAAGCCTTGGGGTAATAGATTGGACGAAAGAACTTCTGATAGCGTAAAATTTTGTAAATTTAAATTTAAATTAAATTTAATAAGTTCATGAAAGCCATAAATAAAGACTTTGGCATGAACAAATATGGTTCTTTTTTCTTGAGAAGACAAACTCCGGCAAAAACAAGAGAATTTTTAGTACTTCACTCTGTAGCAACCTTTTCTCTTTTAAATTTTTCGAACGCAGATTTAGCAATGAAACCATGCAATTGATCTCATTTACTTCGATTCTCACATGGGTACTTTTAGCACGTGCTGATATCCAGATTATCCTAACTTTGGCTTACTAGCGGAAATGAATTCAAGGATAGCGCAGCCTCATGAGATATTTCAGAGTTTGGTCATTGTTTATATAGAGAGGGCTTTACTTTTCGAATGCCTTTCATTCCCAATAAAGATCTATTGGCAGAAGTTACTCTGCGATGAAAATCAGAGCTGGCAATGTGTTGGTTCAGAAATAGGAAAAATTTTCATATTTCGTTTTACTTTCATTCACTTCTCCTCCACTCTAGAGCAAGCAGATCTAATGGCAATATTATTGGGGTCCCATTCCCAATTCCAACAAAGCTGATGGTATAACTTTTTTTGAGGATAGCAAATTCAGACACATAGGGGAAGAGGCAGCCCTTTTTTGGTGCTATCGCTGGTCTTTTTCAAAATTTTGGGCATGACGAATTTTTGTTAAAATGTGGATTAGCCAGATCTGAAGTCACACTGATAGGTATCAAGCAGGTCGTTAAAGATAGCCTTTATTTGCTACGTAATATGAAAGAAAATTCTTTATAAGCGTTACTGAGAAGATTTATCCCACGATAATTGGCACAGACTATGAGGCCTTTTCTCATGCATTCCCCCGGTAAAATTTTTCATAACTCTATCCTTCGTCGCACTTACGGTCCTGGGCCCACTTAGAAAAAAACGATACTAGCCACTTGTTTGTGGAAGAAAAAGTACTCCCAATGGTAGTAGTAGAGGTACATAATAAACTGTTGTATTAAATTGTATGAAAAAATAAAGGTAAAGGTTTTTTCCAAGTTTCTATTTCCAATCAAATCAAACCATAATTTCAGAAACATAAAATACGATTTTCCCGAATAGAATGAATCCAGGCTGAAAAATGAATTATTTCTCATTTAAAATTAGGGTTGAAAACTACCTTTATTCCAAATTTTATGTAAATAAAACGATAATTAATTTGGTTTTTTAAGCATTGATCTGTCGCAAAGTCACTTCGCGGAGGAAAAAAGTGATTCCTACGCCAATTTAGGCAAAGACATAAATACATAACTACCAAATGTCATATATGTCGAACGATTTAAAAGTAAATACAATTTCTCGGCTCGGCTCGGCTCCACTTTTCGGCAAATCCTTTCTTATTGGATGATCAGCAAGTTTCAGGTCTTTACGATCTATGCTTAAGGCTGCGAATCGAACCGGCTTGACAAATTGTTGCATATACATATGTATGTACATACAAAGATTTAAGCATATTTCATGCGCGTACAAGCACTTAGGAACATAAATAATTTATATACGTGTATGCATATGTAATCGTTTGTAATTGTCGCATAAACAAAAGCAACAAACAAACAAGCAGAACAACAAAAACTTAGTGACATGTCAATTATGTACGTGGTTAAACCACACAATGCCACAAACAGCGCTCACCTGCATATCTACCCATCGCTGTAAGCACTTTTACGCAACATTGACACAAACTCGCCCGTTTACAAACACGCGCATACACACAGCCACAAGCAATTATGCATTCAATACATTTTTTTCATAACCGACGCGCCTTTGACTTTGTCGCCTTCACTGAAAGCCGCAATTCAGCGCTCGTCGCCGGCATAACTGTAATAACAATAATTTTGCAAGCCATAATTTTAATTGACTGTGATTGTAGAGTGCGAGCAGGAAGAGTGGCTGTGGTGTAGGCAGTAGGCGTTGACGGCCAATCGGCCTTGCGGAAAGACACACACGGTTGGCGCAAGCAAAGTGCCGGCAATATTCACCAGCCAGCAACAGAAAATATTATTCAAATATTCAATCGTGTGCACACACACACTTACACACATATGAAAAAAAGTTTATGAATGAATAAACTGAAGCTCTTACAAGCGATGCAGGCTATTTTTATCGCAAACTGTGCTGCGGAATGAAGTTGTTTGCTACATTTTTACGAGTAAACTCACTTCACATTTCCGTCAGCATGAGCTCATATATACTTACAAAAACATACATATGCGCAACATATAATTTTAATTATTGCAAATTATTTTACAGCAATAATAAAGACATTTTATTACCTTACAGGAAAGATGCGCGTGACAATGTAAGGGAAGTAGAAGAGAATTTCTGAAAGAGAAATTTATAAAACAAGTCGCATATAAGTTGAAAGAAGCCAGCATCAAGACGATAAAGTTGCTTAAAAATAGGTATAAATATATTATGTAAGGGTACTTGTTTACATACATGCTTCATTAAATTTACGGGAGAGTAAAAATACTTACACTAAGGAGGGCATCAGGGGAGCGCTGTAAACTTAATTAATCTGTACAATTTGTCGCCAACTATATATCGGCAACAGCAAAATATGCGGGTAGTTGAATTTTAATTAAGTGTCAGATTTTATAAATGAACAAAATAATAGTAGAATGGTAGAATGGTAGATGGTTATCACCTTGGGCTGAGGTAGATGCCATGGCGAAAATTTCAACCATTGGTTTATTATTCGATTTTCGTATATAACAGGAACATCCATGTTATTCAAGCATCGCACTAAGAATCACGATTAAAGAGGCATTGCTTGTCGAAATTATGTTATAAAAAAAATATAAATTGATATCTCATACATGAATAGAAGCATTTGGCTGTGGATATACATAGAACTACCATTTGAAAGTCATAAGCTACCTGTGACGTCACAAAGTTTTATCAGTAGATATGTTCGCAGTTGAAGCAGAGTGTGGAATCTGCCAGTTGGCATTGACACTAGTCAGTAATGGGTTCAGTGGCAAGTAGAACTTAAGTGCGCTTTGCTCAATTTAAATAAAAAGTGACCTGAAAATCAAAATAATCTGAGGGTTGACTCGCATCATAACCTTCAACTTGTGATCACCCATAAAACTACAGTTTATGTTTAAGACTTACAGCGATATGATTTGTTGAGCAGGCCAAGCACAATATTTGAGAGAAAAATGTCTCTTAACATTTTTTGACAACATCTCTGAAGAAAAATACCTTTCGGAAATAAGAAATGAAGCGCTGCTGGCTTCAGTTATTGCGTAAGCTGAGCATATATACGAATGTAAGAAGGTCTCCGCTCATCAGAGTGTGTATACGTTTGTTTGTATTATATAAATTTATGTATATCACTTCATTAGGAGCGATCGATGAATTGCTTAACCGCAAATCACTTAGTGATTGATGACATGTTTTCAAATTATATATTTATGCAAACATATGTAAAGCTAACAGTATTATTTTATTACAGCTAATGAATTTATGACTTTTTGCAGTAATATATATTTCTTGTTAATTGGTTAAGATATTGGATGCAAGTTTTTATTGTCACTCTCGCAATTACTGATTTCTCAGAATCCTGTTTTTTCAGTCGTTAATTCGCTTAAATGAACCACACGCATACAGACAATACAAAGGAAATGTTGTACCACTACATTTGCAACGAACACAGAATGGAAAGTCGGACAGAATTAATGCATGTTAAATGAAATTCATGACGCACAAAGAAGAGCCTGATATGTGTTACAGATAAAAATACGAATGACACGAAATCATGTGCTAGTGTGAGTGAGTATGCTTGCGTGCTATACTAGCACAAGGAAAACGGATGTTGGGTAAAGCGGGTAATTTAATTGCGAACTTCAATTTGCAGCTGAGAGAAGGCATTGCGCTTGTGGCGTTTGCAGTTGAAGATATTCACATGCTTTAACTTGCTTGGATTTAAATGCATTTACTATATGTACGCTTTCATATTTATAATGCTTTATTTGTTTATAGATAAATTGCCCGTACACATATATAAATAAGGGGAACTTCAGCAAATTTTTGATTTTGAGTAATATACTTATTTGCTGAATACACAGCATAGAAGCGCTTTTCGGCCGAGCTCTTTTAAGAACTTTTGGTGGTCGTTTCGATGCTTTTCCAAAGAAGGGATGTCCACAGCTACAGCTTATATCAAAACGCCTTCGACCGGCTGATGGTTCCCAATTAGAATAATTAACTTAAATTTTTAATTTATTTGAAATAAAATAAAATAAATAAAATGTGAAAAATTTAAAAAAATAAAACAAAAA